GGAATTGGTTTTTTATTCTAACCCTATCGAAAATTTGGCATCTTTTGAAATTTTGTGAAAAGCAAAATTGCTAAATTTGACCCCTGATGAAGGAATTTCACGTGGTTTCTGCATCCCATCGATGAAGAAATGGAGTTCTGCGAATATTCATGTTTTTTTCGACTAACAGGAAATGGCCAAAATTTTGGGGCCAAAGTGGGGAAATCCGGCTAAAATCGCGAGGGCCGCTAACTTTTCGAAATAATTCCTAATTTTCTTCCCAAATTTTAACTTTTGGGGTCTTTAATACGGGAAAAAACTATTTTTATAAAAAATAAAAACCCCCCGAAACGGAGAGGGGCCGTCACCCTTTAAAGGGTTTGAATGTATAAATGAACTTTAAAATCAAACCTTTATTGAAATTCTTTTTCTATAACATTAAAGGGAAGGGCTGAATTGTTTGGAAGGGAACCCCTTCAAAGATTTATATCATCCCATCCATCATCCCTTCCTTTACTGCACTAACCGCTTCCTCCAACGAACAAAAAATTTCTGAAGGTCTGTTTCTATCACTAAATTGTGAATTCAAGTTATTTTCCTAATTGGCGATGCTGTTTTTGGTAAGCTATTCTCCACAAATCTTTTTATCCCCACTTGCACCAATGCCTAAACTGAAGGCGCATTCTTCCTCTCTCTTCCTCCTCTAACCCATTTCCTAGCTGTGGTAAAATTTCTTGCATTTGGTTTTAGCATTCATGTTAGCTCTTAAGGCCCATGCTTATTTCCAGCTCATCTAATAAACAGCCCCAAACACAATGGATTATCAAATATTTGGATTAAGCATGATTCTCTCTGAACACAGCAACTGCTTCCCCCATGGCAGGGGCCCAAAGCCCCTTTTTTTTCCCAAAACCCCAAATTTGGCCCAAAAAATGGTCAAAAGTTTTGGCCTACCAACCCGGGTTTTCCCGGGGGGCCTGTATCAAATTTTTTTAAACCCTTTTCCCGTAAATACAATTTTAAAAGAGGATCAAAGGAAAAACATTTAATATCCTTTTAATTTTCCCGCATGAAAAGGGGTTTTACAAAAAGGGAAAATTTTTTTTCAACACCTAAAACCCCCCCCCCAAATTAAATTTTCCCCCTTGAAAACCCAACCCCCCCCCAAAATTAAAAAAAAAAATTTAAAAAAACCATTATAAAAAATTCATTTTTTGATCCAAACTGTTGCTTTTTAAATTAAAAGTTTAAAAATTTTTGAATTGGAAAGAACGATTTTTTTTAATTTAAAACTTAATTTTTTAAATTTTAAAAATTTAAAAAGGGTTGGAAAAAATTTTTTTTTGGCAGAATAAAAGACCGAAAATTTCAGTTAGCATTTTGTTTAAAATTGTCCCAAGTTTTTTCCAAAGGGGGGGTAAAAACTTTTGACTGTTTTTTTTTCCTTTAAAAAAAGAAAAAATTTGGGTTTAAATTTTTAATTAAAACCAAATGGCCAGGAGACCTTGCAGATACTATGATCAGAAATACCAGTGGGCCTTTGGGGGAACGGCATTAAACCCTTCCAGAGACTGCCCTTTTTCGATTTTGCCTTTAGCCAAATTAAATTTTTCCCCTAAGAAATAATGGAAATCCATTAAACCCTTTTGCACCAAAAGTATTAAAAAAAAAAATTTTTTTTTTAACCCCCTTCCCGGGGGCCCCAAGGGCCCAAAAACTAAGTGGTGCTCCCCGGGTCCAAGAAATTTTGAAAAAACCCAAAAATTTTTTTTTCTTTTTAAATTAAAGATAAAATTTTTTTGAAGGTAATAAGACCCAAAAAAAAAAAAAACGAAAAAATTTCTTCCGAAATATAGTGGTGGGGGTTGACCCCCAAAAAGACCTGGTGGCGGGGAACATCAGTGACTTTCCCCCAAAATCCCATTTTTTTTTTTTTTTAAAAGTTTTTTTTACTTTATTTTTTCTTTTTTTAAATTTTTTTTTTTCTAATAACATTTGTGGGCCCGTGAGACCAAATTTTAATTTTTAATTTTAATAATGTAATTTAACACAATAACTCACTAATTTGTTTATCATTTTAGCTTACAAAAAATTGTTTTCAATTTTTTGTAAAAAAAAATGTGAAAATTTTTGGGGCGGTTATTTTTGTTGGGAAAAATGGGACCATTTTAAATACCATATGGTAAAATGGGACCATATGGTTTCAATGGTACCATTTTGGTACAATAAACATACAATGGTACCATAAGAAACAAGGCACCATATGGTAAAAATGGGGATTTGGGACAATGGGGACCATATGAAAATTTTCCCAAAGGTACCATATGGTGCAATGGGTTTTCATATGGGACCCTATAAAACAAGACCCCCTTTTTTCATTTTAACCCTAAAGTACAATGATACCCTAGGTTCCTTGTACCCTATGGTTTTTGTTGTAAATTTAACAAATACAACACTAATATTTTCATTATTTTTTTTGTTTAAAAACAAAAATTTGCAAAAATGTTGTATATTAGTAATGTTTTATTTTTATATTTACAAATGTACGGAAACCACATGTTCCTTGGGGGCGGATGAAAAGCACTTGTTTTCGGGAAAATGCGGGTCCGTAGCTAGCTGTGTTGCCACTACTCAGTCTTGGGTTTGTGTCCCCCTGCCACCAAAAAACCTATTGACCCCTTTTGGGACAAGGTATAAAATGTTACAGGGGACCATATGGTACATTGTACGTATATGGTACAGGTAACCATACAGTACAGGACACCATATGAAACAGATACAGGGATAACTATGGAAATAAGTCACCCTGACTTTTTTGGGTTATCCTAGGTTTTATACATATGCTGCTATGTATGATAATCTATGTAATTGTATTTCTGTACACCTAAAATAAACTTACCCAAGTGCATGTGGCATCATAAGTAAGTTTATTAGTTATACACAAATAAAGTTACACAGAATATCATACTTAGCAGCATATGTCTGGAGAACCTAGAAAACCCAAAAAAGTCAGTCAGACTTATTTCCATTAGGGTCCCTGTACCCTGTACCATATGGTATAATGTAACCATATGGTACAATTGTACCATATGGTACCATTGTACCATATGGATACCATTGTACCATATGATACCATTGTACCATACGATACCATTGTATGACATGGACCATTGTACCATATGGTCCCATTGTACCATATGGCACAGTGGTACCATATGTTCAAAAACCATAGAATTCGTCATTTCAGCTCCACTTCCATCAGTCTTAGAGCTGTAATTGTAAGAGGAGAGCCCAGAATTCGCCCGTGAGAGTGTGGGGATGAAGCTTCCTTGCCGCCAGGCACATGAAAAAGCTACTTTGGCCAGCGTTCCCACAATGTCAGGGGCGGGCGTCCA